GGGGGGCTGGCTGGTTTGGGGGGGCCGGCTGGTTTAGGAGGACGGGCTGGTTTAGGGGGACTAGCTGGTTTACAAGAGCTGGCTGGTTTAGGGGGGCTGGCTGGTTGGGGGAGCTGGCTGGTTTAGGGGGACTAGCTGGTTTACAAGGGCTGGCTGGTTTGGGCAGCTGGCTGGTTTAGGGGGACTAGCTGGTTGGGGGAGCTGGCTGGTTTGGGGGGCTGGCTGGTTTAGGAGGACGGGCTGGCTACCAGGACGGCGGGGGGCTGGCTCACTCACCGTGTGGTGAGGTGTGAGCTGGAAGAGGTTGGGGGAGAGGATGGCCGGGGCGAAGAACCGCAGGAAGATGAAGCTGCTCACGGCGGTGTACCTCACGTCCGGGTCATCTGCGCCAGAGACAGAACCACCCTTGCCACCTGCACAGGCTGGGGGGTGGGGCCTCGTCCTGGGCGTTTTGCCGTCCTCTGGGGTGGGAGGACGTGAGCTGTTTATTCCATCTCGTTCCAAAGCGGGGCTGCGGCTGGGGGGACCTGCCTTCCCAGGCCACTGCTCAGCCTGGGACACCCCCCTGCCCCCCGCCGAGGGCCGGGCAGCCATAGGCCAGCGGGGCTCTGCTTGCCGACCAGAGCCATGGCGGGACGTCCAGGCCGCGACACACCGGGCCCAGGGCTGTGCAGGGCGCGGGGCTGCCTGGGGGCCCTCGCAGCTGTGCTGGTGCCGGCAGGACACACCCAGCGCCGTCCCCAGGCTGCCCGGGGAAGGGAGGCGTGGAAGGCGCAAGGCACTGGCTGAGCCTCAGAGCTTCTTCCGGGGGACACGCCCGGCCCGGCTCCTCCCGAGCCGTCAGCAGGATTCGGAAGCAGCGTTCCTGGTCACGGGAAGCCCAGCTTCAGGTGTTCACCAGCGGAAAGCCCTACCCGAGGCATCATCTCCGTGAAAGCGCCCCCGTGCGGAGTTCAGGACACGGAACCCTGCCCAGCCGTGGCCAGCTGCAGGAAGCACCCGCTGGCGGCTGGAGGTTTCCTGAGCAGAGCCCAGGCCAGGAGGGTCGACCTTCCTCCCACAGAAGCCCAGCGCTGCCTCCCTGGCCCGGGTGGGGCCGCCGCAGTCATGAACTGGGGCGCAATGGCCGTGGGCGTGGATCGCGCAGAACTCGACGCCAGACCCCCCAGGACCCGCTCTCGTCCGGCAAGCAGAGCTCTGCGGTCCCATGGCTGCCGGCGCTCGCCATGGGGTGGGAGTTCCGGGGGGTCGTGGGGGGCAGCAGGGGTTCTGCAGCCATTTCTCACCAGCGCAAGTCTCCGCGAACACTCACCTTGGAAGCGCTTGGCGGCCGCCTCTCGGAGGGAGAAGAAGATGTCGCACATGACCGTCGGGCAGCTCACCCCGGACGTGGTGATGGCGTGGAAGACGTGGTCCACGTACTGCCGCAGGTTCTCCTGCAACAAGACACAGACGCCAGCGCGCGTGGGACCCGGGCTCTCCCTGCAGCTACCGTGCTGGCCGCGCTGAGCGCCAGGTCTGCGCCCAGGGAGGGAGCAAGGCTGCCGGGTCAGGGCGGACTCGTGAAAAAGATACACTCGCAAGACGGTTAAAAAACCCAACCGCTTTCAAAGACACACCGAGCAGCTGCAATGATCCGCGCGGTGTGACCAAGACTCTGGTGTCCGGGGGCCTCAGAGTCCCTCTTCTCTCCCGACCCCGTGAACTGAGTGCGGAATTGAAACTCACTGGGACGTGCCTACCTGAAGGCGAGAACTATGCTTTTATTTAAAGGCACGACCCACCCCAGCGTGATCTGCATAGAAAATCACACAAAAAGACTAAAATGCTGGAAGGATGTTCAACATCAGGGAGCTCTGCTGTTTCAAAGAGTGGGACTCGGTTCCGACAGCAGCCGGAGGTGCCCGGGTCTGCTGGGAGGACAGAGAACAGGCAGAGCAGGCCGGGGAGGCCGCGGGGGCAGGAGGCAGAACACGGGGGCTGAGGCCAGCACAGGCGACAGTGGCCGAGCCTCCAGGCCAACGTCCCCCACCTGTCCTCGCCGCGGATCCAGGACCCTGGGGCGAAATAGCGTCCACACGGCTCCAGGGTGAAAAGCCCCCAGATAGGCGCCTGGCTTTGGACAGCGTCCTCAACAAAACAGAACTTACCATGTTGTTCTCGAGGTTTTCTCCGTCTTTTAACTTCACGGGGTCGATCTCACAAGACTTGTGGCCCTGGCATATCTGGAAACCGCGGTTAGAGCAGGGCTCTGAGAGGCCGGCTCCGCGCAGAGGTCTCAGGCCTCCCGGGGATGGAGAGTACGCCTCCGTCAGAGACCCGCCGCGGGGCTCCCCGCCCCGACCCCAGCACCGAGCAGGCCCTGCGAGGCCCCGTGCCCGGGAGACACCCTGGGGCCCACCCCACAGGAGGCTGGAAGGGACGATGTCAGACGGGAAAACAGGCCCCAGCGGCCAGCAGACACGCAGCGCCCCTCGAGAGAGAGACCTGCGTCGGTCCCCGAGGGACGAGGTGTTGTGGGGTTTGATAACACTTTTACTTCACAGCGTTGCCCTGACTTCGCCCACAGATGAAACCCAGATGCTATTGTTTTAAATTTTCTCACATTTGCAAAGAGCCTGTCTTTTACGGAACCGTTCTGGGGAACGACGGCCGAACAGCACCCCGGTGAGGGGTCTGACGGGGACGCTGGGCCGCGCGAGAGGGACGTGTACGGCCCGAGGGTCAGGCAGCCGGTGCCCTGGGCAGGACAAGGGCCCAGACCGGGGCTGGTGGAAGTCACGCAGCTCCCAGCGCGAGGACTCGGGAAACCCAGAAGTGTGTGGAGAGGGTGTCCCTGGGAACAACCAGGTTTTGTGGAATGTCCTGATTTCAGCAGAATGATGGGTTTTTCTTAGGTATTTCTTTTTTAATTTGGGAAAACAAGGAAGATTCTGGAATGCGCTAGAGTATCCTCTCCACAAAAGCTAATAAAATGACGTCCCTGCAGGGAGGTGACAAGTGCAGTCGACACCAAAGCCACAGGTCTCTGCGGGCTGGACACTGGCATGGGCCGACTCACCTCCCCGATGGCGGGCCCCAGCGTCACGTGCAGGTAGTGCATGCCCGCCAGCTTCATCGTCTCGTCGATGCACTTGGACGTCAGCGAGTTGCCTCGGAAAATGGTGTTGGGGTCCCTGGGAAACAGCATCGGGGACGTGTGTCTCCCGTCACCCCGAAGCCCTCGCGGGAGCAGAGCCTGTCCCTGAACACCCACCACGGGACTGGGACGGGTCTGTTTCAGGAGCTTCCCAGGAGCGGAACCCACAGGGGCCGGCGTGCCCGGGACGAGCGGGCCCTTTCCTCCCGGTGCCCTCCCCTCGCCGCTCTCCGAAGTGAGTCTTTGCAGAGAATCGGCACTCGGCGCACCAAGGCCCGGGCAGTACGTGAGCAGCAGAGAAGCAAACGCCTCGCTGCCAGCCACGGCGGGCACGTGGCGGACCCTTCGGGGTCACAGGGTGTCCCAGAGCAGCCCGCAGGTCCCGAGGGCGCAGCACCCGTCCACCAGGCCCCCCAGAGACACGGCGCTGTCTAGGGCACCGGGGCCGCCTGCAGGCGACCCGCCCGCCCGCCCACACTCACTGCGTCCTCTGCACCTCGGCGCCCGCGATGGCGCTGACGAAGGCCACCACCCGTCCCGCGTGCAGCAGGAGTCGCGCCAGCGGGACGGCCGCCTCCTGCTTCTCCCGGCACACCTCGCCCAGGATGTGCGCCGCCGACGCAGACACGGGCTGGGGGCGGGGCGGGCGGTCAGCGCGGGGGCGGGGCCCGGCCCGGCCCCGCCCACGAGAGCCGTGAGGACGCCCAGCAAGCGGCCAGGGCGGAGCCCAGCAGGGGGCGGC